GCGGAGGGGGGGGGGGCGGCGTCTAGAAAACAAAAATTTCGTGGGGAGAATGCCCCCGGACCCCCTAGGGTGGTGTTATCTCAATCTCCCCCACTTTCGGACATCTCTGGATCCGCCCCTGAAGTAAGTATGCACAAAGCCACTATGTACACAGGACCAGCGGTTAGGATAGTGATTAAGTTCACTGATTGGCAATTTCCTTGGTGCTCGTGCATAAAGAATGAAATGAAAATGAAATTTATTTATTGAAATAAAAAAGATACGATTCCCTCCTGTGAGGCTCGAACTCACGACCTTCAGATTATGAGACTGACGCGCTGCCGACTGCGTCAAGGCGGCTGCTGGAAGGAATTGTTTCCATGGTTTTAGTTTTCCTTGCCAAATCGCTACGGTATGTTGCACTATAAAACCATTATGGTTACTGTAGTGGGAAACAATTTTAAGGTCACTTGTTAACAGCTAAGTTTCATCCATCTTAATCTTATAATTTAATGGGGGTTAATACAAAGTTCCATGAAAGAGAAGGTTATTATAGGCATTTCTTCAAAAATGGCCTAACAGGCCTATATTGCAGATAGGCCTACAATATACTTTCTTTGTCCAAAAAAATCATCTCATATAGCCAAGACCTATTACTGTACTATAATGGCGGTTTACACGTGACATGGAGGAATAACACTTGATAGTGTATTCTACATACACCTGAACCAACATCTATTACTTCGGTTTACACGTTACATAGAGCAATCAAATGGGATAATAACAATACTCATTGTTAAGATTAGACTTTCTTGTGTTTGGTCCAGCTTACATCAGGACTAAGTAGCGCGCCGTGATCGTATAGTGGTTAGTACATTGCGTTGTGGCCGCAATAACCCAGGTTCGAATCCTGGTCACGGCATTGATGAAACAATGTCACGGCAATGGTCCATTTGGTCCTTTTTTTTATTAATTATTTTTGCTTGATGTGTTACGCTATACAATTTAGTTACCTTTGATTTTTTATTTTGTCACGTGAATATTATTATTATACTAGGCCTACTTAAATGAAATACCGGTATAATTTATTAAAGAATAATTTAATAGAAGCTAATTACAATATAATTACATAATTTTATCTACAGGTTGTTTATTTAATTTTTTTACGTGATTATTATTAT